CACACACACACACATATACTTTATCATATGTACATACACATATGTGTATATGTGTATGTATATATGTTTAATAAAAAATAACTGCAGTAAATTATTTCTAGAAAATATTCATCATAAAATTTTTTATTCATCATAAAGTATTAACAGTCCAGGAATTCTAAAAAAGATAATGCAACATTTTTAGCGTTGATCTGACAAAACAAATATTTGCAATGCATAAAAACAATGTAGCTTGTGTTCTTGAAAGTTTCAATGTTCACATAATTTTCTGGAGACCAATTGGTATAACTTTTGCACTGGATATAGGCTAATTTGAAAAAGAAATTTTCAATACAAACCATCAAGGTCACCTAAAGTCCTTCTTTTTTTTTTTTTTTTTTTTTTTCCGTCAAGGAGTCTTAAGAAAAGGACAAATATGTTTATAGAACTGAAGTTCTAGCTAGGAAACTTTCATGAATATAATTTACTGCCATATCTGCCCACTCATACAGTTTTGGAATATGAGTATCTACTCAGAACCTTTCTCAGAGCCATCTTTACTTCTTTATTTCTCAGTGTGTAGACAAGAGGGTTGAGTAGTGGGGTAATCACAGTATAAGTCACTGCCACGAGCCTGTCCTTATCTGAAGAGTACAGGGATGTGGGCCTCAAGTAGATGAAGGAAGCACAGCCATAGTGGACAATGACCACCGTGAGGTGCGAAGCACAGGTGGCGAAGGCTTTATGCTGCCCTTCCACCGAGGAGATCTTGAGGATGGTGGAAACTATGAAGACATAGGAGACGAATATCAACACAAGGGGAACCAGCAATACCAGAATGCTGAGGAAAAAGATGACCATCTCCCTCAGGTTGGTATCTGTGCAGCCCAGTTTTATGACAGGGGAAATGTCACAGAAAAAGTGATTGATCCTATTGGCAGCACAGAAGGGCACACTGAACACCAGGATATTGACAACCACAGAGATCAGGAAGCCACAAAAGCTGGAGGCTAGAATCAGCTGCATGCAGGTGGCTCGGCTGACAATGAGTGTGTAGTTAAGAGGGTTGCAGATGGCAACATAACGATCATAGCCCATCACGGCAATGAGAAAACAGTTGGTACAAGCCAAACCCACAAAGAAATAGAGCTGGACTGCACACCCAGAGAAAGAAATAGTTGGAATTGCGGATAGCAGGTTGGTTAGCATTTTGGGTACAATGACCAAAGTGTAGCACGTTTCGGAGCATGAAAGGACAAAGAGGAAGAAGTACATAGGAGTGTGCAAAGCCCTGTCCAGGCGAATGACCGTCATGATGGTGGTGTTGGCCATCAGAGTGGTCAAGTAGACTAAAAGGAAGATAAAGAAGAAAAGGAGCTGCAGATCCCCCAGGTTTGAGAAGCCTGTAAGGATGAACTCGGTAATCACGCTCTGGTTCTGTCTCTTCATTGGTCAGTGGAATTAGACTTAGGAAACCTGAAATTGAGAGAAGCGAATTTGATAAAAGTGAAATGATCCTAGAGAAGCTCAGTTTGCATTTCTTTAAAAAGCTGACAATATGGGTCTGAAAAAATATGTAACACACATTAAGTACATAGATCGGGGTATATGGAAGCATCAAGGAACATGAATTGTGACATACCCCAATTCAAAGATACCTGAAAGTATTTATTTTTACTTTTGTAGGTTACTTCCATTCTCTGTATTCCTATTTGCCTAGAATGTTCATACTGTAAAATCAAAATGTGATTTAGACCTTATCTCATTAAATATTCTCATTTTATGGAAGAAGAAAATGAAGCTCAAAAGGATTAAACTATTTGCTTAATCATATGACAGTGATAGTCCTTAAAAATCACTTATCTTTGCTAATACCTTATACAAATCTGATTCAGAAAAACAAACAAAACAAATAAAAAGTGATGTACCCAGTCTCTTATATACATAACTCAAATAATGCTTGTTCAGACAAGCATTATACTTATGTAGATAAGTATTTTAATTTCCTTAAAAGTATTCAGATTCTATTTACCCGTGATCAATTGTGAAGACTTTGGGATGGCTCACATATTGGGGTTTCCCTTGTCATGAGTGCGTGGGAATCCGAGATTAAGAATCGTATTAACCTCAGAGCATTATGAGGCTTGAGCATTATGAGACATGGGCTGAGATCTCCACCCTTTTGACCCAGGCCTCCATCTCCGTTGCCTGTATAATGCTCTAAGAACTTTCATCATTATCTGTGAGAAGATCTGTGGTCTGACTGGGAGATCAAATAAATGCTAAAACTTTTATATCAAATTATTTTTATTTTAGAAAAAAGATCAAAAATCTAACTCAACACAATTCTGTGAACCTCTTTATAGCAATGTAGGAAGTATCGTCCAACCTCCATAGTCAAGGACAAATTTTAAGGAGTCACTGACCGAAGCAGGCTGTTCCCTTGCTACATAGTTTACTTGGCTACTTCTGAGCTGAACTATGCCTCCTTGAAATAGGCACCCATTGTTTCTGATTTGTCCTCTGCAGATACTCATAATAATGTTAACTTATTTCCATGAATGACAGCTAGCCTTTAGTTATTGAAATAAAATGATCATATCTCTTTATGGGTCTTATTTTTCTTCTAACTAATTATTTAATATATATATTATGGCAATGTTTCTGGAATTTTCTCTGTCCTAATTACCATCTTAGGTATGTTTGCTCTTAGCTTTAGGTCATACATCTGCCCCTCAGCTGTAGGCAAGCCAGTTGGCTGCAGCCATCACACATAACTAACTTTGTCTCTCTGCCTCTACACACAACATTTTCTTTTCTATTTTTGTTATCCCTCACAATTAGTATTTATCTTGCCTACACAACCTCAGCTTATTATTTATGCCCTGGGAGGCTTTCCTACCTAGCTGTCAATGACTGATTCCTGTTTGAATTTACTGCTCTGTCAGTTTGCTTTGGGATCATTGTAGAATGGCAGCACAGTGAGGCTGGGAAGGAACACAGACTCTGGAGTCAGACTGCCTAGGTTGAGACCATGGCTTTGTCAATTTATAAGGTTGGGGAAATTGCTTTGGGTCTCATGATTTAACCTCTAAAATGGCAATAATAATAGCATACACCAAAAGGTTTGTGTGACTACCAAATGCCCACAGTGAAGTCCTTGATGTATAACTGGTCAATACATGTAGGCTGTTAAACATCTAGTCAAGTCCCCTCACATTACAAACGAAGAAACAGAGGCCCAGAGAAGTAAAATCTCAAGATGTAGGTTGCATAAGCTATGAGGCAGGAACTGTATCCCAAATACCTTAACTCTCCCAACTAGGGTTTTGTCTTTTCAATTATCTGTGTTCTAGTTTTAATGTTTCCTTTGTATTGAGAGTTTATACACCAGTAACTTAGGAAATAGATCGACGTCTTCTTTACTCTGTATGATCCCCACAGGTTTTCTGTTCCATTCTTCCAACCACTCCTATCTCTTATCCTTCCACCTTACTCCACCATATATTTTTCCTGTTGCTAAGGTACATATTAGGCATTTTCTCCCTATTTCCTAGTTTAGGTCTATTTTAGGAATACATTGCTGTTTACACTCTTCGTTATACTCTGCATTTACTCTCTCTCCCATGCTCACATGGTCAGAGTTTGTGTGCTGCATCTTTGCCCTCTCCATATAATCTCTGTCCTGTCTCTCATGCTGGATTCTAATGCTATGACCCACTTCACCAGTGTATGGTTTCCATGAATTCTTCTGCCTCAGAATCTTTCTTTGGTATTTAAAATATTTTTAGAGAAAATTGACAGATATTACTCATAAGAAAGAGGGTAAAGTCCTAAATCTATAGTACAAAGGAGACACTTACATCCACAGGCAGTTTTAGCACAATCCCATGTTCCTTTTTATCTCATATCCCATCAAAGTCTAAAGAGGAGAGAGAAATAGGCAAACATTTAAAAACTATCAGGTAGCGTATTTCTCCTAGATCTTACTGGGAAAAGTCCAGGGGCCATTTGCTTTTAAAGATGAAAGACAGCTCTGCCTGGTCTCTGAGCTGGAAGTAACTACAGCCCCGATCTCAGCAGCTCTGTGCCCTTGACAGCACATGCTCCAGCACAATCCCTGGGTCTTATACAGTTGTGGTGCCTCAGGGGATCGAGGCCTTGGAGGAAGGTTCTTCCTTGGATTCTAGGCATTAAAAATGTAATATTCAACCCTAAAGAAAGAAAAAAAACTGAGAAGCTAAATTATGCGGTTTACTTGATCTGGGTAAAAGACGAATAGCTTTAAATATTATAATTTTTTGCATTGGTCATTCATTTTGGAGTAAGATTACATTTGCTGAATGAAGTGATGATTGTGACTTTCTTAATCATTAGCTTTATAGATGCTAAATACAGACAAACTGTTTTAAGGGATAAAATAAATGACATTCTTGACAATTATTTTCTTCCTTAAGTTGTTAGCTGAATTATGAGATTATTTTTTCTATAACTCTCTTGCTTTATGAATAAGGTATACTGGAATCATAAGAGGACATACACGCTAACCTTTTCTACATTCCTCTACATGCTTGATTTATCTCTTCAAATACATTAATCAATGTAGACGTTCACCAGGGCATTCATTAGTCCATTAATTTAATGAATATACCTTGAGTACCTAGAATACTTCAGGCACTCTGGTGAGGGTTTTGGTGGGGAAGGTGGTACAATGATGGCTTCATCTGTACCAATGGTGATTTATGAACCCATATACATCTGAGCCTCTTGAGGTGCACGTGAAGATGCATATTTTGGGGCTTTACCCTAGGATCTCCTAAATAAGAAATATTTTAGGTGGAGCTTAGAAGATTTTGCCATCAGTTTATGTGATTTCTTTGATTTTCAGAAAGTTTAGAGCTACTGACTTCTTTCTGATAAAAGCTTGATGTTTAGAAGATGAGATAAATAAATAAATAAATAATTACAGCAAGCAAAGAGGGCTAAGCCAGGGACAAGCACAAGGCATTACTGAGAGGAAGTACAGTTCTAGGGTAACATCCTTCCTTGCTTCTTCTAGCTTCCAGTGTTCACCAACAATACTTCTTCCTTGGCTTATAGATGCATCACTGCAGCAACATGGTTGCTTTCTGCCCTGTGTGTGTGCACACTGTCTTTCCTCTGCGTGTGTCTGTGTCCAAACTTTTCCTTTTTATAATGACACCAATCATACTGTCTTAGGTCTCACCCTAACAGCCAAATTTTAGCTCAATTACCTCCATAAGAATCCTCCTTCCAAATAAGTTCACATTCTGAGAGACTTGGGATTAGGACAACATACTTCTTTTGGAGGCAGGGAGGAGTGGGACATAATTTTGCCCAGAACAACTGCCTACTTTTAAAATTATGTTTATATTCTTAATTTGTTTTTCCACTGAGAGTTTAACTTTTATATGTTTATTTTAAAGTTTTTTTTAGTATTTAATGTTAGTATAGGTTTTTATTAATATTAAAAATTAGTAATAGTTTTCACTTTGTTATTTGGTATAAGCTTAATCTTTCATTTTTAAAAGCCTTAACAAATTAGTCATTTATGTTATTTGGAGGGAAGTAGATGGGGTCTGTCTATGTTGACCAGGCTGGGCCCAGGCTCCTGGACTCAAGGGATCCTTCTGACTTAGTCTCTTGTGTAGCTGGGACTACAGGTATGTGCCACGGTGCCTAATAGGCATTAATTTATGTTTATCTTTTTCTTTTAATTCTACAATGTAGGGAGTCAAAAAACTCTTTTCTAACCACCTGAGAGATGAATTTTTCTTTATATTTGTTTGTCCTATCTATCTAGCATTTATTTTGATAAGCTGCATGGAAAAAGTATTCATCTTCCTCCTTTCCTGTCTCCCTTTACCACCCTCTCTCTCTCTCTCTCTTTCTTCCTGATTTCAAGTAGCTTTTCTAAAATTTAAAAACTTGTCTTTCAATCTGACAGCAGAGGTTACTTCTTGAGAACATGTTTCTCTAGTCATGATTGTGTGTGTACACACACACACACACACACACACACACACACACACGAGCAATGTTACAGTGCTGGAGATTGAAGGACAACCAAAGACAAGACTGAGGGGAAAGTGTGTAGTGGTCATCTCTCAGTTCAAGCCTGAAAGAAATCTATGCATTTTTCAACTACTGAAAGCCCCATTTTCCTGAGGCCCACTTCCTCTGCAACATACGGTCTTTCTGAGGGCTGCCTTTACTTCCCGGTTCCTTAGACAGTAAATAATGGGGTTGAGGAGTGGAACAATGACAGTGTAGAGAACAGATACCACTTTGTTGGAATTGTAGGCATACATGAGTTTGGGACGGGCATAGGTGAAAAGCGTTGTGGAATAGAAGAGAATTACAATGGTCAGGTGGGAGGCACAGGTGGAGAATGCCTTTTGGCGGCCCTGAGCAGAAGGGATCCTGAGGATGGTGGCAAGGATAGCAGCATAGGATGCCACCACAACACAAAGAGGAATAGCAATGACCATGAGGGCCAAGGAGAAGTCCACCAGCTCAGCCCGTGCGGAGTCCTCACAGGAGATGTTGAGGAGTGGAGAGATATCACAAAAGTAGTGATTGATCTGAGGGGTGCCACAGTAGTAAAGTTGCGCTATAAAAACCATCTTAATCATGGCAGTCATGAGTCCACAGAACCAGCATCCTCCAGCCAGTGTGCCACAGAGCTGGTTGGTCATGATGACTGGGTAGCGTAGTGGATTGCAAATGGCAACGTAGCGGTCAAAGGCCATGACAGCAAGAAGGATGTACTCAGTGCAGACAAAGGTCACAAAAAAGTACAGTTGAGTCATGCAGCCATTGAAGGAAATACTTTTGTCATGGCTGAGGAAGTCAACAAGCATCTTGGGGCTGATGACCGTGACATACCACATTTCCAGGAAGGAGAGGTGGCTCAGGAAGAAGTACATGGGCTTATGCAGCTGCCCATCACTGTGGATAGCTAAGATGATAAGGAGATTCTCCAGCAGTGTCAGCACGTAGGTTGCCAGGAAAACGAAGAAAAGAAGAAGCTGGAAGACTGGTCGTGTTGGAAACCCCAGAAGAACGAAATGTGTTGTCACTGTACGATTTTCTACTTCCAGAATTATGGTGGTCATGACTGGCTGTGGGCACAGACAAAGTCAGTTCCTTCCATGATGCAAGCACTAGTCTATGGTTATTTGTACTGACAGGGCCCACCACCAGCAAATTTATTACAATAGGTGATCTCTGCTTTTTTTAATCGTTTTACCTCTTGAATTATGATGAGAAGCAAAGCCTTTGAGAAAAGGTGGAATTTAGAGAGCTTATAATTCAACTTTTTTTTCAAATTTTATCAAGAGCAGTAACGTCTGCAAGGTCATACAAAATAGAAATTAATACAACTTTCTAAATCCCAGTTCTGTGCTTTGCCAATATATCACTTTTGGGCACATAAAAAATGGTTTTCCATATCACCCTTGCACTACAGGCAAAACATCCCCCGTCTATTGACTACGAAGAGGAGGAAGAAGGCCCAATCGTCCATTTTCTAGGGGTAATTTGTGTGACTCTGGCGTGGTTACATGACCCCACTTATCTGTAAAATGGAGAGAATTTCCCTGCTTTTATTTAACAAGTGCTTACTCTTGAATGACGTTATAGTTGAGTACACCCATAGGGTTAAAAGCAAAATAAGGTGGAGAAAATCATTCACCAGCTTTTCAGGGAACGAAACTGAATGGAAAACTTGAAGGGTAAGATTTTCTTCAACCCAATCCAGTGTATAGAATGCTTTTGAGGAGTTTGACAAAAGTGCATTCAAACCCAAATTTTGTCTTTGTATAGCCAAGTGAGCATATCACAGAACCTTTTATAATATTAGTTCCTTTATTTCTAAAATGGGGATAATGCAATAGGGCTCATATCTTGTGAACATCAAATAGGATTTAGAGTTTAAATTCAATTCCTGTGATACTTGCTTTTACCTTTCCAGGCTACCCTGCTTACACCCACATACATAGCTCGTCCTCCTTTCAAAACAACACACACTCCACCCCACACACAGAGCTTCCCCCACCCCAACTTTTAGCCCCGCCGAAAACAGCAAAAAACTGGTGCAAACAGCAGCCGTTGTTAATGAGAAAAGGGAGAGGACTGTGGGACTTTTCCAAGGGTGCTAAATTTAAAAACCTGTAACCTGTTGGGAGTAATATCAGAGAAAAAGAACAAGAATGACTTTTTTTTTACGGACCCTCCTGCATTTCTGTTCAATAATTTAGCAAAATGTGTGACCTCTTTTTGTGTGGGGCTGAGAATCATTCCCAAACCTATTGATATTCCACACCTTCCCATTTCAAGTCTCACTCTGTGTCCTATTGCTTCATTTATGTTTTCTGTTCTTCTCCAGAGCTACAGCCCCTCTTGCTCCCCATTTCTCAACAGCTCTATTTTATGGTGTAAATATGTAGGACAACTAAGGGAGGGGTTTTTTTTTTTTTTCCCTAAGGAATAGTCATGAGAAAAAGAGCCAGAAAACTACTGTCCACACTATCCATTTCCTTCTTCCCACTTAGATTCAGCTTTAGAATCCTGAAGAAAGGCAGATTTGGAAGGCAGGATTATTCTTTCTTAGAGAGGGAAATGGACACAGATAACCCAGAAAAGGCAAATAATATATAATAGTGTAAATTCAAATAATTTCGTTTTCTGTTGGAATACAGTCCTGAGAAACACACGCACGTACACAAACACACACACACAGTCAACACAAAACTTCAGCACAGCTTGGTATTCCCTAGGCAGTGTGAGAGTGGGGCTTACAAGCAAGGCAAGGTTTGAATCCTGCTTAACTTTTTCTTTATTCTGATTTTTTAAAAAAAATCTTTGAGTCCAAAAATTCAAATCACTTAAAATCTATTTGTGAAGAGTGCAGGTCAGTCTCTATCTGGCTCTCTCTTACTAAATTACTGTCCTTTTCAATGAATTGATGAAATGAACACGTTTCTAGCTATTGAGAGCAGTATTACTATTTGGGAGGCACTTTCTTAGTCCATAGTAAAAGGATATCGGTCTCCAGAGCCATGTCCTTGGGCTTAATCTTTGCATGTATTTTTTTTTTTTTAAATACTCTAGAAAACTACAGGCAAGGCATAAAATCCTAATGTCCTAGTTTCTGGGAACCATCCCCAGGGTCCTGTAGAAGATGCCTAGCCTAAAAAGCATAGTTAGAACAACCCTACTAAATAATGCAATGTATTCACCATTTCTTTGCAATAGACATTGCCATTCTTAGGGTAACTGCTTCAGACATGAAGCTGGAAATAAAAACATCTTATTTAATTTTAAGAAGAATTGGTAAATAAAGCGGGTGATATTTTTACAGAACTATGCATTCATTCATTCTTTCTCTAATTCCAGCAGAAATATAAAAGTCCAGATGAAGCTCCACAAAATAAAAAAACAAAGAAATGAAAAGGGAATATGCAGTATGATATAAAGAACAACTGACTAAGCAGCTTTATCATTTGAGCATAGAATTCAGCTTTGAGGTCTCTGGCAGTCAAGTAGAAGAGGAAAACAATTGTAAGACGGGTGGATCACGAGGTCAAGAGATCGAGACCATCCTGGTCAACATGGTGAAACCCCGTCTCTACTAAAAATACGAAAATTAGCTGGGCATGGTGGCACGTGCCTGTAATCCCAGCTACTCAGGAGGCTGAGGCAGGAGAATTGCCTAAACCCAGGAGGCGGAGGTTGCAGTGAGCCGAGATCGTGCCATTGCACTCCAGCCTGGGTAACAAGAGCGAAACTCCGTTTCAAAAAAAAAAAAAAAAAGTACAATATGCTCACATTCAATTTTCAAAGTTATTCACACATGTATATATAGATTTATATTTTGATAAATGTGAGTTAATGTATAAAGAGGTAGAATGCTTTATCAAAAGGCACATACATTGTAGATGTAGTAAAGGTTCTAAATTCCTAATTTCTAGGGCTAGATTGAGTCACATCCTAGTGCCTTCTAAGATTGTTTAGACAGTCCATTGGACAGACTTGTGAGGAAGACAGCAAGGCTCACATAGTTAATGGCATTTCCTCCAGTGGAAGTTTTACAGCAACTAGATTCTGAGGAGGCTATGCTGAATGTGTTAAAGTATCTTTACTGCCAATGATAACTCACATTTGTGTATGTGAAAGCACATTCACATCATTTTATCTGATCTTCACCATCATGGAGTTAGCACAAACGTCACAGTGCTGACTTGACCCAGGGATATTAAATGTCTAGCTGAATTTACATAGCTAAGCTGCTTAATGACAGAATTGAAATTAAAGGCCATATTTATTTTTTATAGTCTACTGATTTTTGTGTATGAGTAGGTAGAAAATGATCTATGAATTGGGTGAGGTATTTTTTCTTCTGAAAATTAAATTGTAAAAATAGTTTTAATAGCACTCTATGCAAGGAATAAAAATTTAAGGAGTAAAGATTCAAAGGGCCAGGATGAAAGCCAGGAGCCAGTTGAAGGTTCCAGTACTCTGGATCTCAAACATTTACTCAGTAGCAGGATAAACCATCTCACTTTTTTTTGTAGCCGACTCTTAGTCATGCATTATGGACTTGTCTCATGAAATAATGGCATTTTTAAACCAGTGGTATTTTAATTCAAACTTCTTTCTTTTCCCTCCGATAAGGAAATCCCAGAGTGATTTAAGTGATTTTCTCTAGTTTAAACAACTATATAGTGGCAGACTAGCAATTTATTAATGATTACATTTTAGTCCCTAGCAAGCTTTAATCCTTAATTGTCTTATACAATTCATTCAATTTAATTATTTAATGTCTTCTATGGCTCCCTGTTATACACTTCATTCAAATTAATTCCTTATCTGACCCAATTATTATTAGCTCAAGGACAGATTATCTTAAGTTTTAGCCTGATTTGAACAGAATTATAATAGTGTGAGTCTTAAAATTATGATTTTTCTCAGAAAAAAATATATTTTTTAGCTTTCACAATTGCTAGCCCATTGTATTGATTACACACACACACACACACACACACACACACACACACATTACTAAGGAAGTGGAAAGAGATCCTTCAGCTCTAGAAACACAGGATTGCAGCACTGCAAAAAACCCAGGAGGTAATATGATTTAGGTCCCTACCACATTTGTGTATCACCAATGCACAGACGTTGAGTATTCATCTAGATTTTGCCTGACTTTTTCAGGAATGGAAATTCAGTATCTATAAAACTACCATATTTTAAAGAAGAGAAACTTTCAATTTGGGAGATGCAAGGCTTTCTCTTCTGAAACCCAGTGCACCCACATTTAGGGGTCCTGGTTCTGTTTCTAAAAATAAGCCTCATCATCTTCTCAAAGGATAAACTTCACTGTTTGAAAATAGTGTCAGGATCATTAAACTTCCAGTTCCCTGCCCCACCCTCCATATCCCCTTTCCCACCATGTCTTTCCTTTTTTAAATTAAGCCACTCAATTTCCATATGTGTGTGTGTGTGTGTGTGTGTGTGTGTGTGTGTGTGTGTGTGTGTGGTCATATATATATATATATATAAATGTATATGGTCAAATTGCTCCTGTGGAGGCATTTTTAAAATTGCCATACAAGCTCTGTGGGGATTGGTTTGGCCAAACTGAGGGTATCAGAAGTCTTCAAAAATGGAACATAGGTAGTGAGACAAGTAACAGAGCAACCACTCATGCTCAATCTAGTCTTCTACTAATTCCTGCAGGAAGGTGAGAAAAACAAAAAAGTATAGGTTAGCTATAGGTGGACATACCAGTCTCGGATGCTCAATTGTAAGGCATTTTCTTAAGGGGAGGAACAGTCTTACTCTTCCAAGTCAGTTTCAAAGAGATACAATTCTAATCCAGCTCCCTTTTCCTAGGCTTTTCAGGAACATGTATGCTTCAGGGTTATATGTGTAATAGCTACTGTGTTTGTGGTAGAACAGAGTGCCTAGCTGCTGTGCAGTGAACCCCTCTGCACCTTTCTGTTTCTACTGTGAGTTGGCTTTGAAGACTTTAGGAAAAAAAATGTGTATTTCATATCCCTGATCCTTTATACTCTTTATTATTTTCCAAAATCATGACTTGTAGTTTGACATAATTTAATTTTCAACTCAGTCCTTTAGGAAAAGTGGCTTAATTTCTATGGGTCTCATTTTGAGCACGATTAATTGTTGCTGTTTATTTCAGGATTTCAAGTTGAAAATAAATGTGGTCACATAATGTGATGCAATTTTTTGACTAACCAGGACAACAGAAAAAGAATTTTTCTTGCTCTATGGCACTATCACTAGAAGTGAAATTCTACGTTCTATAGCACTATAGGATGACTATGGTTAACAGTAATATGATACATAGCTTCAAATAGCTAGGAGGATATTGAATGTTCCCAAGACTAAGAAATTGTCAGTTGTTTGTGATGATGAATATGCTAATCACTCTGATCTGATCACTGTTCATTGTATGTATGGATCAACATATCATTACGTACCCCACAAATACGTATAATTATATATATACATTATATTAAAAATAAAAAATGTAGCAGGAGGAAAAATATTATAAGCCATCCAACCCTGTAGACATCATCTTGTTTGTCAGCCCCTGCTCTTATTTAACATAAAAGCACACATGCTCACATGCCTGTGTTCTACCCACTAATTCTCACATACACATATTCATTCATCCACACCAGCCCATTAATTCCATCCTTTATACTGTTTTCTCTCTTTTTGTCTCTTAAGTCAGAATAGACTTGGAATCTGCGCTTTGCAAGGCAGAGTTGGTCAAATGCATTAAGGCATCTTTAGAACAAACCTATGGGATTATTTTCATAACCAGGCCTATTTCACTTAGAGTAAGTTATCATGGTAGAGTCTTAAAATGACATGAGAATCCATATGACACTATATTTCTGAACCCTTAACGTATTTCATATGGCTAGATATACATAGATGCTGAAAAATATTTTGTTGAACTGGAATGAATCTATGTACATACTAAATTCCTCTCCATCTATAACTTGTTGTATCATTACTATTATAGGCTTAAAGACGACAAAGTGTTTTTAAAAATCAATGAAACAAAATTTTGGATGAATCAGTAATTTATACATAATTTATCTTCAATTATTCCCTACTTTCCTTCATAAAAATAATTATAAGATGGCTAAGTTCTCCTTTGGAAATATCTGAGTCTTTTTTTCAACTCACCATTTTCTCAGGAATGTAACCCTTTTTCTACTTAGCTCTGTCAAGGATGGCCAGCTTGCTCTGAGAAAAGAGAAGAAATCATGTAGACCAAGAGGAGAACAATGTCCGTAAGCCTAGAGGGTTGCTGGGCAAGTCTGGTTTATGTCTCTGCTTGACGAAGGCACAGAATGGAGCTATTTGTGCTTCTTCCTGCTTTCAAGCTACAGGAGGAGACAAACTCCCTTCTATCCACAAGGGACCTCCCAAGAGACACAGCCTTCAGGAACATATCTGGCCTTTCCAGGGCTCACAGGGATCCTGGGAGAATATTAAGGAAGAGCTAGCAAGCTAAGTAGAGTTTCCAGGCACAAAAGAGACCTTAGACTGGCTGGAAGTACACTGCCCATCCTCCCCAAAAAGACTTGGGAAGAGAAAGGTGGCAAGGGGAAGTCGTGTGTGTGTGTGTGTGTGTGTGTGTGTGTGTGTGTGTGTGGTGTCCACTTTCTGAGGAACAAGCTCACAAATAATAAGGTCTTCCAGAAAAAGACAGTGCTATAACCCAAGTCATTCAGAACATAAGAATAGTAAGTACCCTTCCTTATTTGGAGACCCAAGTGTATGAGCACATGCACATTAATAAACTCCAAACACACTCAGATATTGTGCTTATATAAGTATACACAGAAGTAACTGTAATGCATCAGTAACTCAGTAGATGTGAACAATGAATATACTGCATTCAGATATCTGTATTTTCAAAAATAAGAATGTTATATATTTACTCTTATTATCTATAACTGGCACACATTCAGAAGCATATAAAGGTATTCAGAGAAAGTAGATGGTAATAAGATTATATGGAAAATAAACTGCGATGGAAATTGGACAGTTATCTCTTTAGGTATATATGTTGCTTCCTGGGTTAGGATAGCGGCACATCCAGGATAATTATCTTTAGAACCACAGACCCAGGACTACAGCAGAAAGGGAGCAGGCTCTGTTGGATTTTGATATGTACTACTATGAAGGATGTTGACCATTGTCGGAGACTGCTTTTCTGGAGTTGGGAAAGACGAGAACTAGCCAAAAAAGAATAACATCTCCCAATATAAAATTAAGCTCTTTATTTTAAAATAGCAGAATTCCCCTGAGGAACCATAGCAAAAACTCTTCAGATTACAAAGGGCCTAGTTCATATTTTTAGGAGTAACCACTTTTTACCCCTTACCATTTTTCAATTTGATAAAAAATTTAAAAAGGAAATTGTTCCCATAGAAAACTAGAGTAACACTTCATTTATTTCCACGCAGTCTCTTAGCTCATTACTGGTTCTTTGGTGATATTCTGTGTTGCCATTCTGTAGGAACCTGGCCATTCTATAAATATGTATTGAGTATCTTCAAAGTGTCAGGAATTATTCCGGTCACATGTCACTACTCTTTTCAAATAGTTTTACTAATAGTTTTATTCACCCTTTAGGAATTTGCTGATAGACTTCAAGAACCAGAACCTTTTCTGATAACAGAGGAGGTTCAAACGGAGTGCTATTAAACCTCTGTTTCCTATTTACTATTATCAAAAAGTCAGTAAATAGGAAACAGAGGTTTAATATCACTCAGTTTTAATTCCATTCTGTTGAAATAGAGAAGGAAAACATGATACAGATAATTTAAAATTTCTGTGAAATGTAAAAGAGGACATGGTTTTCAAGTCAGCAAAACATGGATTTGTATTGCTCTCTGTCAGCTCTGGATGTAAGTAAGTTCTCAAACCTCTGAAAGTATTACATTCTTCATATTTAAAAGGTGATACATCAAACCAAAGGTTAGTCTTGAGTAGCAGCTCCAAGTAAAGATTCTATAGCTAGAGTGTCATGGTTCAAATCCTGGATCAGTCATGTTCTACGTACATGACCTTGGGCAAATTATTCTGTGTTTCTGTTTTTTTAAATTGAAAAAAAAAATGAAACAATAAGAGTACTTATCTGTTAGAATTATTGTGTTGATGGTATGGGTTACATATATAAGCTGTTTAGAACAACACTTGCCATATAAATACATGCTTTTATTTGTATTATGTCAAGCAAATAGAAGGTGTTCAGAAAATTAATTTAATTTCCAGTTTCCTTTATAATTTACTTGCACACGAGCATAAGAATTTTTGTCATTTTTGAAATTTCCAGAATATTTGAATGAAACAATGAAGCTGTTTTTGACTGAGTCATGAGTTAACTGACTCTGAAGATAAATTTCAGAATGTTCATAATTTCATTTGGACTTTAAATGATAGGATTTTCCTATGCTAGTCAGTGAATAATGAAGCATCTTGTAAATATACTCTTTCAATTACCAAAGGAAAAGAAGACCAGGATTTAATTTTAGTTCTGCTCATGTTGAGAGTCTTGGAAATTTTCTCACTTCACACAAACTAGGAGAAAGGTTGCTTTAAGGCATAATTTAATGGCAAAAGAAACTCCAAAAATAGTGAAGCAAACTGTCTTATGGGAATCTCTTCTCATCAAGAGATTGTCCAATTTTTCCAGTTTTCATGTAAAAGTAGAGGCAGAGCCCACTGTATGTTACTTCTTAAAGTTCTGTTTATTTAATTTGTAAAAGTTGATGAAATATAAATGACTGAGACTCTTAAAAATTATTTTAAAATTACTGGACTAAGGATTCTCAAGGAAAGAGACTTTCCCAACTTAATTGCTTTTGAATACAATGTCTGTTACATAGTAGGCACCTAAAATATCTGCTCAATGAGGAAATGAGCTGAGTCCTATTTTATTTAAATGACATAAAAATGTGTAACTTTAGTGCAGAGGAAGATAAGGAATACCAGAAGCTCCTGGCTGATTAAGTACTATTGTGGGGAGATGTGTAGAAAAAATATGATTATTTTCTAAGATCTTTAACAAAAAATCTTCCTAACTACTATTGTGAACTGAGGAACTAATACAAATAAAACATGGTCTTTTCTTGGTTTATAACAATTCCTTAATACCAAAATATATCGTTAGAACCATGAGTGCTTATAGTGAAAAAAGTCTGTTTGTTATTATTTTCTGTCAAAAAAGAAATAGTTTTAAGAGCTAGTATTAAAAAACAATAGGTAGACTACATCTGTGAGTTGAATGAGAAAAAGAACATGCTTAAATATTGTAAGAAGTTGGGCTCTGAGGAAATACTCAGAGTAATTGCATTTATCTTTGGTGAGAAGAAATGGAGAAATTTTTAAATGATTAAGTTAATGTTTACTAGGGAAACCTATTTTTCTTTTGTGTTAGTATTTTATAACTCCTGAAAATTCTAGTTTCTGTTATCTTAAGTCACAAAAATTTTGAGACAGATAATCATGTCCTGTGCCTTCTACAGTGTCTTGTGAATGAAAATCACAAATTTTTTATTTCCTTTTTAAATTCGAGTACATTCTTCGTCGATTGAATAAATGGTGCTGCTATTTTAAAACAGATTAATTTCATTTTAAAAAATCATGATACCCCATTCTCCACAATGTGCTTGTTTCACATTGCATGCCTCTGTCAAAACATCTCACGCACCCCATAAATACATACTACTATGCACCCACTGTTTTTTAATTACACAGCCAAAATAAATAAAATAATGATAAGCGTCACTGCATGCTACTTTATAGTAGTTTACAAGCTACTTTACAAATTAAGAACCTTAGAAAGTAGGGAGACGCCAACTTAATTGCTTTTGACAACAACGGAATGCAGCTCCCAACAAATAAGACACAGAGGACTTCACGATTCCAAACGAGGTGCTGGGTTCGTTTTGGTGGGACTGACAGGGCACTGAAAGTAGCCCAGGGAAGGAGCCACAGGGCGAGAGCCGCCCAGGGGGGCAAATCAAGACAGGGGGTGGGGGTGGCGCGTGCCCACTTTGAAACATGCAGCCGGCCCGGAGGGTCGGGGACTTCACCCCCTCACTGCTCCGTTTCGTATCCCGTGCTTACCTCATCTCTCCTGCAACCCACGGCCCACGAGAGCCCAGCCAGACGGTGGGGCGCCGGGTGTAGTCCACGCAGAATCTGAGCAGCGGCTCCCGCCAGGCGGGGCAAATTGTCACAGGAACCTGGGTGGAAGTTGGCACGAAGGCCAGCAGGACAGACCGTCCCGCAGAGGGAGGCAGAGCTGGAAGCAAGGAAACAGACCGTGAGGCCTGGCAGGCCGCACCTCCACAGAGCTCAAACTGAAGGCCTCGCTGGAGACCTCGGCAGCCGTGACACCAGCTTGACCCCCAACTAGGAGGATTCAGCTGGGGAAGGAGAGACGCCATTGGGAAGGCGGCGCCCATCTCACCTGTGAACAAACTCCGGGAAACGGCCGCCCACCCCGCAACCTGACTGAGCCCGAGAGCCCAGCAGCGCCCTCTACAGGCAAAGAAAGATACAGCTCCAACCGCAACAGAAAAAAAGTCCTGCCCATCGGTGACAGACTGGACAGGGAAAATGTGGCACATATACACCATGGAATATTACGCAGCCATCAAAAACGATGAGTTCGTGTCCTTTGTAGGGACATGGATGAACCTGGAAACCATCATTCTCAGTAAACTGACACAAGAGCAGAAAATGAAACACCGAATGTTCTCACTCATAGGCGGGTGTTGAACAATGAGAACACAGGGACACAGGGAGGGGAGCACTACACACTGGGGTCCGTTGGGGGGAAATGGGGGAGGGACGGGGGTTGGGGAGGTGGGGAGAGATAGCATGGGGAGAAATGCCAGATACAGGGGAGGGGAAGGAAGGCAGCAAACCACACTGCCATGTGTGTACCTATGCAACAATCTTGCATGTTCTTCACATGTACCCCAAAACCTAAAATGCAATTTAAAAAATAAAATAAAATAAAATAAAGAAAACCCCTGTTAAAAAAAAAGTAAATGATTCATAAACTTTTATTTGTGTCAGAAGGTCCCAGACAATATTTAGAGAAACTGTTGGCAAGTTATATTTATGTTCCCTTTAAACCCATTACGATTCCTTGAGGAAGCCCTACTAAGATTCCCATATTTTCACCCCTCGCAGGACCTATTGTATATCAGTCTGCAACATCCCTAGTATAGCGACATCTGCCCATCACTGTCTTCCTGAAGGCATCCTTTACTTCCTTGTTCCTCAAGCAGTAGATGGC